TGAGAAACCAACCTTATTTCGAAAACTGAACATAGACCAATGAGCCATAGTACTGAGGTCATGGTCAGATGAACCCTGCCAGACAACATATAGAAATAAGATGCGGTATAATTGCCAATGAGACAACTCACAACCAGAGACCAAATGACGTAGAAGGATAGCAATTATATAGCCTCGTACTGCCTTCAACAACGAACAAAACCCATACCGCATAACAAGCTATAAAGGCTTCAAAATAACAAATGTAAAACAATTCAAACGAGGAAACTAACAGCCTGATTTATGAACAAAACAATAAACGAAAAACAAATATGACATACTAGTACAGCAACATGATATGTACACCATACTATAAACATTCCTAACAACACATATAGTTGACCTATCGCTTATAGTATTTGAGAAATTGCCATAACCATGAAAACTTATTATTGACCAATGATCCACGAAAAAAAGGTCAGATGAACCCTCCCAGATAGACATGTACACCTTACAATCATTCTGTACACCAAATAAAGATGACCTATTGTTTATAGTATCTGATCTGATAAGAACCGTCATCAGTCATGTCAGTACCTATTTTATCAACGGATATAACACCATTAAGGTTCTTGTATATTTAAAAACAACTACTGACAAGGTTATTGACTTTGGAAAGGCACCATAACATTTGGCAGGGCTATACATATTTTTATGTTTAGTTCTGAGGCAAGTTCTCAATCCTTTTGTTTAACTTTATCACTAGAATAACACAAGAGTAGACAAACTCAAATGTCTCGTCTGCTTTACTGGTCATGGCTAAAATGTATGTTGATTTCTAAAATTCTTAACGATAAAGGTTCGACTATAGGTATCCAATAAACTGTACATTGTCACTGATCCGTGAAAATGAGGTTAAAGTTAGAGAAACCTGCCAGATGGAGATGTACACCTTAACATTATTCCTTGCAACAATTTTAAACCAGACTCAAGCTAGCGACCAATTCTAGCGACCAATCAAGCTAGCGACCACTAAAGAACACAATGAGAATCAACTTGTCTAAGAATCTTTATGTGGTATATGGGAAAACTGCAAAACCACATTATGAAACAACGTTCTGTTAAAAAGAAAATCTAGCTATCAGTACGGTATATATATATATATATATATATATATTGTTTTTTTAACGTTTAAATGACCAGAGATGTCCAGCATTTGAAGTGAAAGGGGAACACTACAACACCAATGACTCGTCTGTAGCTGAATGAACCGACTAGGTTGCTTGCTAAATGCCGGCATATTGATATCAATCAGTAATGAAATGTAAGTTTCTATAAAAAATAAAGTGCCAGCAATTCGAAAAAAGTCAAAACATCTTAATAAAGCCTGTGTCAGATGTATGATGTTTGATGAAATTCTGTATGTGTCTATTATTAGGACAGTCTTTGTTAACGAACTATTTTTATTCCCCTACATTCAAACACATAGACGTTGCGCACGATGTTGGTACGAATTCCATTTTGCTATAGATTAGCATAAAAATAAATACGTAGATTGGTCAGTTCGATAAAAATATATTGATTTCTGATTGAATTCATTACATTAGACTTTAAAATAAAGGAAAAAAGGAACCGAAATTTAAAATACCAGGAATTATAACACTTAATTATCCCATTTTTACGCAAAAACGTAATGTCCAACGTTTCATTTTGTGTGCAAAAGATCAGAGTTCCGTTTCTTTCCTACGGTATTTTTTCTCCGATCATCGTAAAACTTCACAAGAGCATTGCTATTGTTATAGATATTCGCGTGTTAAAGCAAAATCAATATCACTGAAACCGTAATCCGGAAAATGTTTTTTTTTTAAACGGTCTGAAAAATGTCCAAGCATATGCAAGGTAAGTATATTTCGGGTTTGCGCATTTATATTGTGAAATTGAAAAAGCTGACAGGAAAAATATTTATTATATTTTGAAAGTTTTTTTACTTTTCTCCTGGTTTATGATATTTTTTTGCCGGAAACCATGCGTATAGTTTCTATTGCAATGACTTCAAAAAGTATAGCCATCTTGTCCCAACGAAAAAAACGCTGCATTTTCTTTAAAATTGAGGTTTTAACCAGCTGTCTATCAAATAAGCATAGTTAGATCATAGAAAATAAAACTTGGCGGTAAAGGTTTTTTTGTTTTTCTTTTTAAACAATATAGTGTTTAATATTTTTTCTTTGGGCAATAAGGTCTTAAGTTCGTTTCAAAAAGTATAGCCGTTTTGTCCCAACGTTCGCAAAACGTAATTGATGTCATGTTCGGGTTTTTAATTTTATATCGTAATTATTTGTTTCCAGTTTAATTCGAATAAAAATAAAAAAATAAATGTATAATTTACAATACAACAAATGTATGAGAAAGGAGTAGTTTAAGTTTAAATTCAAATATTGACCAAATGAGATTGATATAAAAAAAATATCGGGATCTTAGTTTTTTTTCATAGCATATTTGTTTTATATAAGAAACATTGTCTATCTGCAAGTGTTCAATCGTCAAAAGTAACATGTATAATTTTTTTTTTATAAAATAAAAGAGAGAAAAACCATTGCTGGCAATTATAACAAACAAAGGATATGCATAAGCCACAAAAAAAAAAACGGAATTGAGAAATGAATCTCGAATGTTTAACTTCCTAGATATTTTGCGACAAAGAAAGCATCGGGAAATGATAAAATATAGAAAGGAAACGGAAACGGAAACGGGAAAAAATGCAACGACAGGAGTATGTACAAATGTATAAATATGCAAAAAATAGGAGAATATTTATTCAAAATCTGATTTATATTAAAAATAAATCTGTGTAAATTTGGAAATTAATGTATCGGATTCATTAATGCGAACTGCTGCCGAAAGGAAAATTATCAATTATGGCCTGGAAAGACTGACAACTCCTGTAAATGAATATTCATTAAAAAAAAATATCTATACGACCGTTTTGAGTTTTATTTGTAAAATTATGCATTTTTTCAGACAAACCGAAATCAGGTACCAAATTCACAACTGTTACAGTAAATTGACCTCATCAATAATATGCTTGAACGCCTGAAACTTTCTTTGAAATCGTCGAAATCGCCTTATTTTAAGGAACGTCGTGAAACGCTAAGTAGTACCAACATTGTGCGCAACGTCATACTATATATTATCATATATGTATTTATATGAATGAAAGTGCGCCCCTCCCCGGATTTTACACCATCGGGAATAGGACTAGTTGGGAAAATAATCATATTTTGACATCTTATTTACGTTTTCTGTTTTTTTCCAAACTCTAAACCGAGATTATAAACCGGTATCAATTATTGCAAATAAAATATTAAAGACGGAGTGTCTATCCCCCAAGCACAAAATGGCTATATAATAGCTCACGGCGGATCAGAAATGAGAATAAAAAGTAAACATACTGAAATAAAAAACAAGAATATTTGTCTATGATGATTTGCTCGCACAATCATTTTCCATATTCAATGAACCGTGAAATTTGTGTCAAAATGGTAATTTTGGCATTCAATTTAGAAAGATTTATATTAGAATGAACATGTGTACTTAGTTTCAAATTGATCAGACTATAACGTCAATCTAATGCAGTATGAATGGACAAAGGAACGGACAAACGAACGAACACACAGACCAGATACTATTGTGCGCTGTACTGTTGTAGGCGGGGCATAAAATAGATATTTAATGTGAGTTGACTTAAACTTGTTCCTTTGTACAATGTATAAGTTTTCAAATAAACGAAATAAAAAAGATACTATTGCGATAAAATTACTATATACTGGCTTTCCATACACTCGGCATCCTCAAATATCAAATTTCCTATATTTTCTAGAAAAGGAACTTTTAATGTCTGTTTTCTATACTAAAGACGAAAACATACAGAAGAATAAGATGTAGGAGGGAATTTCATTCAGACAAAAAGTACTTTTAATTGAAATTAAACGTGCACTATTTTGTACGGCATGCATCCTTACTTAAAAGAAAAAGACTTTTGATTAAAAAAAAAACACGTACACTTTGAACATCAACTTTGAACCCGTACAATTCCCAGAAGGTTCTAACCCCCCAACAAATTAATTCAGTGGGCCTTTCTCTTATTTATTACCTTTCATTTGAGCTATGTCCGGTGGAGAACTTTGCCGTACGGAGCTGGTGAGGCTTGCCGAAAGAGTGTAAGGTGGACACATAAAAAATAAATTAACATCAACTTTGAACCCCTATAATTCTCAGAAGGTTCTAACCCCAAAACAATTATTTCAGTGGGCCTTGCTCCGTACGGCAAAGTTCTCCACCGGACATAGCTCAAATGAAAGGTAATAAATCAGAGCAAGGCCCACTGATATAATTTTGTTGGGGGTTATAACCTTCTGGAAATTGTAGGGGTTCAAAGTTGATGTTAATTTTTTTGGTTGCTAGCTTGATTGGTCGGTAGAATTGGTCGCTAGCTTGAGTCTGGTCAATTTTAATTGACCTATTGTTTTTAGTATCTGATTAAAGTAACCACAAACACTTAATATGACCAATGAGCCGTGAAAATGAGGTCGTGATTAGTTGATTTGACCCTGTCAAACGGATATGTACACCTAACAAACATTCCATACACCAAATATGGTTGACCTTTTGATAATAATATCTGAGAAACGGTTCTGACCATGACAACCTCACGTTGACCACTGATCCATAAAATGAGGCCAAGGTCAGATAAATCCTGTCGGACAGACATGTAGATTTCATCTAACAGATATTGTTATCCTATTACTCATAATAAATGAGAAAATTTCGTTATAGAAAAAGGTTTTTAAGTAATCACTAAACCATGAAAATTAGCAAGGGGTTCCGCGGAACCCTGTGTCTCGCCTGCGATTGTTGCTGTCAGTGTTAAAGTGTAATGTTGACTTAAAAAGTGAGTCCATTTATCTGAAAAATACAGAATTTAGAAAAGTGTGTGTGTGTGTGAAAGAGAGAGCATTTCTTACCGTCTGAACACACTGCATCATTTTCTTCATCACATGGTCTTATATGTGATTTACCATTTGAACAGTTAAGTGCAAGACATTCCCTCTCAAGTCCTCCAAGAGAAATGTAGTAACTGTGCAATTGAGGGTAATCTGAATTTAGGAAAATAAATGATTCTTTGTTATATTGTTTTTGTTTGATTTCGCAAAAGAGCCATATCAAATCATCCAACACATCAGGTATCGAAATTTTCAGTTATATGTGAAATATAATAAAGTTTAGATAAGTCAGGATATTTTCAATGAATTTCACAATGTCCTCCACACTTAAATATTTTATGATTTACTGGAGAGGTTCCAACTCCACCAGGCTAGGTTGCTCTTAGGCGAATTAAGCTATTTGCTTAAGTTTCATTTGATCATATATAGTTCCTCTAATTTTCTTGGCTTTAATTTTTTTGGATTTGAGCATTCCTGGTGAAGATTAATCTTGCAGAGCGATGCGCACGCACTTAATTTATAAAGTGTTATTTTCAGTGTATATTTCCGTAGTAGTTTCTTCCCGGCTCAGAAAAGTTTATAAATAAAACAAACTTACTATCAAATCCGGTATTGATTGTTCTGTAAACAGTTACAAACTCTGCATTTTCAATGAAATCACCACAAATCCCAATACCATCTTTGCATATTCTAGCACAATTTTGGCGATAATCGATTAAGTCAACGTTGTCTGATATATATTTAGTATCTATACATGCGCAATAGGATTCCTAAAATATTTTTTTAAAAAACGTATATACTATTTATTTGAAATAAAGTATTGTGTCTCATACAATAAACGTTCTAATTAACATTTTTTTCTGCAATACGAACTTTTTATTAAGATTCTTAAAACAATAATTTTCGTTTCGAATTTTTGTTTTTAATATTCTTGTAACCGTTTCATCTTTAAAACATATAATATATATAGTTTACCTCCCTCACATTATTATTGAATAAATCTATTAGCTAAAGCAAGATCATGTGGTGTGAATTAATTCGGATATTTTCGTCCAAATCTGCAGGGCAAGTTCTTAAACATACAAGAGAGAGCGTTGCACTCTAAATACACATTGCATTGGATTTGGCGTCATGTACAAAACTTACAAAAACTAAACTGTTATCACAGAGATATGTCTCGCCTTTTTGTAATTTTGATAATGCAAATGTTGAAATTAAAATAGCAATACTTTAACATGTAAGTTATGCAAATATTCAAAGTCGATGGACCATGACTGAAGGTACATGGCTAAACAATCTCCATGGAATGAGATGTGCCAATGCTAATACAACTGCATACCAAATACCATTGACTTATTATAAGTCGTTCCCTTTAAACAAACCTAAACACAAACATTAACTTGTAAACTATGTAAAAGCTTCAAAGTTAATGAGCCATGATCAGGGGTGGGGCTATATAATCTCCATGGAAACAATACTTGCAAATGCCAATAAATTTGCATACCAAATATCATTGACTTAACATTAGCAGTTCATCTTAAACTGATCTAATCACAAACTAATACATGTAAACTAAGCAAAAGTTTCAAAGTAAATAGACCATGACTGAGGGGGCATGGCCAAATATTCTCCATGGAAATGAGATGTGCTAATGCTTATACAACTGAACACCAATTAACATTTGCATACCACTAATGGTTCCCCTTGAACTGACCTAATCACAAACTAATACATGTTAACTTAGCAAAATTTTCAAAGTCTATAGACCATGACTAAGGGGGCGGAGCCAAATAATCTCCATGGAAATGAGATATACCAATGCTTATACAACTGCATACCAAATATCATTGACCTTCCACTAGTGGTTCCTCATAAATTGACCTAATCACAAACTAATACAAGCTATTATGAATAGTTTCAAAGTCAATAGACCTTGACTGAGGGGGCGGGACCAAATAATCTCCATGGTAATGAGATGTGCGAATGATAATACAACTGCATACCAAATATCATTGACCTACCGCTAGTGGTTCACCATGAACTAGACCTAATCACAAACTAATACATTGTTGACGCCGCCGCCGTCGCCTTCGCCGCCGACAGACAGTATACCTATTTCTCGCTTTTTGACTCCGTCAAGGCGAGACAAAAACATTTTAATCCAACTAATAACACTCTATGTTTCCAGAGACAGTCCCAATTTCCTGACACCTACTTTTTGAATATACATATTGTCAAATGTGTCTTCTTCATGATTATACATGAAATATGCCTATGGACATTAGAAAAAAAAACATTCAACTAAATGTTTTAATCATTTGATTCTTCAGAAATAAGCCCTGTTTTTAAAAAAATATCAGAATTTTTCTTCATTTTGAAATAGATAAAACTTAAGGTCTAGGAACAGTGAATGGGCTATGTCACAGATTTTGCTAAAGTTTTGCATACAACCTTGGCTCGTTGAACTTTAACTGAAAATCGAAAAAATAAAGCATTTATCTCTTTTATTATCTCTAATATTACTGATTGATTTATTTTAAAATAGGTGAACATTTGTATAGAAAGCACATTAAAGCGGAGAAAACCTTCTTAGATTTGTCTTAAAATCATCAAATCTCTTTTATCTAATACATAGATTTAAAAAAAAAACCTACATGTTGTTGATACATGAATTATAGGTATCTCTTTTGCAAAGTTTGGAAATCTTATATTTAAAAGTTATGAGATTTAGATCATTATAAGGACGCTTAATTTATTTGCATTATTTTTTATTTTCCCATCAAAATTGGAAACAATCGCTTAATTTGTATTTAGTATTATTTTTTTACTATATTCACATCGTGAAAATGGAACTGTATATGGTTTACTTATATAATGACTTCTTTTGAACACCTCTTACTTACGGAATAAGTATAGATATACATAAAGGGGGTTCAGGAGGAATTCTTGCCATGCCAGATCAATTTTTTCAGTTAAGATTTAATTATATTAACGTGTTCAAGTATATTTTATGTTAACATGATAATAATATATATTTTGATGCAATAAATACCTTCACTATGAAAAATGTATTCATGTTATAGCCCTTGTAACAATGTATATAGCACGCCATGGTGAAATCCCTGTCATCAGGCGTTAACAACTTGTATTTGTTTGGAAAAAGCTTATCCAGTCTAAGGCATCCGTAAATTGTGATCCATTCGGAGTACACTTTATTTCTTGTCCAGAATTCTTGTTCTCCAGAAAGATCAATCGGCATATGTTTAATACTGGTATTTAACCCGTCATTAGCCATTAATGACCCATCTTTCTCATAGCAGAAATGAGAAGCATCCCACCAAGTTTTCTTCTGTGGATAATATTGGACTAAACTCTCTGTAAGAGAAATATTGTTGTGATGCATCAATTATAGGGGATGTTAGACAAACGAAAATAGGCAGCAAACTGAAAATATAAATTAGAAGAGGTCATAATACGTGTTTTTCGATGATCTAAGTCAGTCCGAGTCTAGAACACCTTCACACGCTAGCGTATTATTTCTGTTCATGGAAGAACACCATATATACCAACAGTTACTAACACGCTATATCTATAAACTACCCCACTCACCTGCATTCTCTCGACATTCACATTTTACTTGATCTATCTTGCAGGACATCAAGGAAAATCACGAAAGTAACTTTAAAAAAGTAGGTCAACCGAATTTGAAGGGCGCGCAAATTTGGACCCCGACACTAGAAATTAGGGTATGTTGGACACTTTTAAGTTAGCAAAGGTTTTACTGTTGGGCAGGAGAAGTCCATGGATGACCAGTTTTTTATACCCCAGTCAACCGTTTGAGTATTTTCGCTTTCACATATATATGTGCGTTTTGGCTATTACCTTTGCAGAGAGGTACATGTAGATATTCCTAGGTAAATCCGATGCGCCCCTTTAATAACCATTTGTTCATGTATTGTTATAAATGACAGTTTGAGGCCAAACTCTAAATTCCTTTTAATTAAAAAGATTACACTTCTACCTCTTTACAATGGGGGCAAGTGCCAGCGGGGTACTGACACCTGCGTCCTCAAAACATAGTATGTACAAACAGCATTATATGATTGTAGTAAAACATGTTACAACATAGTTACAAATATTTAAAAAACTAATAATTACATTAACGCTAAAATAACATAATACATTGCTTATTTCGTAAAAGTACATTGCAATAACGAGTTCATATTCGTATAGTATAATGTCATCCATAAAAATACATAAAAAGTCAAACTTTAAATCTAAAAACTTTCGCACACAGTTTATGATATTAATAATTTGAAATTTTATCAAGTAAACAAGAACGTTCATTCATAACGTCTGTAAGAGATTTTTTCTCGATCATGTATAAACTATAATCTATAAGTCCGGATAACACAAGAAACCCAGATCACCTATGTACTAAGAGCGAAAACTATTCAAAGCAGATATCCATTTTTAGCTCACCTTACCACAGGAAATGTGAGCTTTTGCCATCACTTGGCGTCCGTCGTCGTCGTCCGTCCGGTATAAACTATTTCAAACATCTTCTCCTCTGAAACTACTGAACCAATTCCAACCACACTTAAGCTGAAGGATTCTTAGGGTATCTAGAATAAAGTTTGTGTTTTATTTTCTTTTTTGTCAAAAAACATAGCCGCCATGGCTAAAAATAGGACATTGGGGTAAAATGCAGTTTTTGGCTTATATCTCAACAAGAGTGCACACGCTGAAATGTCTCGCCTTCTTTACTTACCATTGATATTATGTTGATAGTCCTAAATATAAAGCTTTACTACAACTATCAACCTTACAATCATTCAATACACCAAATATAGTTGACCTATTGATTATAGTTTCTAAGAAACAGACTTAACCAAGAAAACTAAACATTGACCAATGAACTATGAAAATGAGGTCAAGGTCAGATGAATCATTCCAGGCAGACATGAACACCTTACAATCAACCTATGAATTAAATATAGTTGACCTATTGCTTATAGTATCTAAGACATAAACTTGTCCACGAAAACTTAACATTGGCCAATGAACCAACAAAATGAGGTCAAGGTCAGATGATACCTGCCAGACAGACATATACAGCTTACAATCATTCTATACAAAAATATGGTTGACCTATTGCTTATAGTTTAAGAAAAACAGACCAAAACACAAAAACTTAACACTGAGCGATGAACCGTGAAAATGAGGTCAAGGTCAAATAAAGCCCGCGAGAATGACATGTGCATCATAAAATATTTCCATACACCAAATATAGCTGACCCATTGCATATAGTATTAGAAAAACAGACCAAAACACAAAAACTTAACTATAACCACTGAACCATGAAAATGAGGTCAAGGTCAAATGACACCTGCCAGTTGGACATGTACACCTTACAATCCTTCCATACACCAAATATACCAGACCTATTGCTTATAGTATCTGAGATATGGATTTGACCACGAAAACTTAACCCTGTTCACTGATCCATGAAATGAGGTCGAGGTCAAGTGAAAATTGTCTCGACGGGCATGAGGACCTTACAAGGTACGCACATACCAAATATAGTTATCCTATTACTCATAATAAGAGAGAAATTAACATTACAAAAAATCTTAACTTTTTTTTCAAGTAGTCACTGAACCATGAAAAAGAGGTCAAGGACAATGGACATGTGACAGAAGGAAATTTCGTAACATAAGGCATCTATATGCAAAGTATGAAGCATCCAGGTCTTCCACCTTCTAAAATATAAAGCTTTTAAGAAGTTAGTTAACGCCGCCGCCGGATCACTATCCCCATGTCGAGCTTTCTGCGACAAAAGTCTGAAAAACTGAAGCATTTAGAGCAAATATGACATGGGGTAAAAATGTTCATTAGGCCAAGTTCTATCAGCCCTGAAATTTTCAGATTAATCTAACAACCCATTGTTGGGTTACTGCCACTAAGTTGGTAATTTTAAGGAAATTTTGCAGTTTTTGGTTATTATCTTGAATATTATTATAGATAAAGATAAACTGTAAACACAAAAATGTTCAGCAAAGTAAGATCTACAAATAAATTTTTATATGACCAATATTGTCAATTCACCCCTTAAGGAGTTATTGCCTTTTAAGGACAATTGAACACAATTTGTTTATCATGTTTTCTAACTTTAAAAAATCTTCCCCTCTGAAACGACTGAATCAAATTAAACCAAACTTAAGCTGAATGATTATAGGTTATCTAGAATAAAGTTTGTGTTTTATTTTCGGTTTCCTCAGAAAACATGGCCACCATGGCTAAAAGTAGAACATAGAGTAAAATGCAGTTTTTGACTTATATCTCAAAAACTAAAGCATTTAGAGCAAATCAGACCAGAAGTTATAGTATTCATTAGGTCAAGGTCTACCTGCCCTGAAATTATCAGTCAAATCGGGTATCTGATTTCTAGGTAATTGCCCCTGAATTGAAGATTTTAAGGAAATTTTGCAGTTTTCGGTTATTGTCTTGAATATTATTATAGATAAAGATAAACTGTAAACAGCAAAAATGTTCAGCAAAGTAAGATCTACAAATAAGTTTTTATATGACCAATATTGTCAATTGACCCCTTAAGGAATTATTGTCCTTTAAAGACAATTTTTCACAATTTGTTTGCTTACTTTCACAAATCTTCTCCTTTGAAACTGCTGAATCAATTTCAGCCAAACTTGGGCTGAATGAGTTTCAGAGTATCTAGTATAAATTTTATATTTTATTTCCTTATACATCAAGAAACATAGCCACTATGGCTTAAATGGAACATAGGGGTAAAATGCATTTTTAGCTTTTGAAGAAAATATGACAGATACAAAGAACATTTAAATGGCATTTTTTAGCCACTCATTAATATATATTGAAAAGCAAAAATAATCATTGATGAAAGATTTAAGCAAAAAATTACAGGTGAGCGATTCAGGCTCTTGAGATCCTCTTGTTAGGCTATCGAAACATGCTTGTTTGTCGGAAATTGTTCTTTTTCTAATAGACGAGAAAGAAGGACAATCTAACATAACGTAAAAAATATTGTCAGTCGCATTCTAGGAACATAACTGGCATTTATTGTTTATCATAAAGATTCATTCGTTGGAGCGTGGCATTTATAGGCAGACACTCGTGTGTCCTTGCCAAAAAAATTTAGCCTTGTTGAGCGAAAGTCGTCAATGTTTAATAAATACAACTGCTTACATTTAACAACCACACATGATTGGTACAAGTTTAAACTACTCTTTTCTAAAATATTGGATAGTTGTATATTTTTCGTTTCGTTACCGTAAAGCTTATTAAAGATATTAACGTTAATGTTTCCGTTTGCAAATGGTCAAGGCCCGTTGTCTGTAGAATAATTTCGACATTTTCTATATATTTCCATTCATTACATTTTAGTCTGAGAAAACATGATGTATCTATTTTATAAGTTGAAATTGGTATTTGACTTGGTTTACCTGAATTTGGCTATTCTTTTAATGTCTATTTGGTCATATAGAAATGTGTAGAAAAATGCAAATAATATCAAATCTAAAGTTTTTTTTCAAACTATACATGAAAATGTTAGGAAATTAAACATTTATTTAGTGTAAGCAATATTTTATTTAGAAACAGACAAATAAATACGTACATCAATACAATACATGGATTGGAAAACAAGTGACAAGTCACTTATACAAATTCCTCTTCTTTTGAACGGCAAAATTAATTACAATGGACAGAAAATGTACAATCATATAACATAATATCATATGAAAAGAAAACAAATGTAATGGAAATTAACATATAATGCAGACAGTAATTTTTTAATATTGGGTGACATGTTGTTGAGCCAACAAGAATTATTTTGTGAATCTCTTAGTTTTCAATATATAGTCTTGGACAATAAGAAAGTTGTTTTATTGTCTTTATCTGTAATGTTCGGATCACCATAAAGTAACGTATCTATGTTAAGTGTACCAGCTAGATTAACAAAAAGGACTTCACGTGTTCGATGATAATTGGGACAGTTAAGGAGGAAGTGTTTCGTGTTCTCTATATGTTTACATTTACAAAATGGGTCTGATTCCAAATTTTTCTGATACAAGTGATCTCTAAAACTAATGCTCTCGGTACGGATTCGGGCATGATATATCTGACCTAGTCTACTGCCTACATAATAATAATTTGGTATAGAATGATTTGGCTTAAGAAAGGCTTTAAGTAGAGTGATAGAATCAGCACTTTTTATATCTGGGGGAATGCTATTCCAAAGTCGAACTGTTGATGGAAGGAAACTATTCATATAATAAGTAGTTCGACAGGGTACTGATGGAAAATTATTAGCGTAACGAGTTCTATACTGGTG